CTCTAATACTGCATGGTCCCCATTCCTCATGAAAGTAAATTACTTTCCTTAACTTCTGTGGGAGAACGAGGGGCAAATCTGCACCCATAAGAAACTGATGACCAGATAGCTATATTTGGAGAGGTAATTCCTGCACCCCAACTATTTATCAAAGGAGGGATGCCCTGAGAATTAGAAGTAAGCCCCCTGCTTGAATTGTTTGCAGGACTGAAGCAGGTTTTGCCTGCTATAAGCAGTCCACCCTGCCTTGATTCTCCTTGCACCCCCAATTCCCATTGCCCCCTGCTACCCCAACCCTGTGGGGACGTGGGTGGCACTGTGGGTTAAACCACAGAGCCTAGGACTTGCCGATCAGAAGGTCAGAGGTTTGAATCCCTGCAACGGGATGAGCTCCCGTTGCTCGGTCCCAGCTCCTGCCAACCTAGCAGTTCGAAAGCACGTCAAAGTGCAAGTAGATAAATAGGTCTCTGGCAGGAAGGTAAACGGTGTTTCCGTGCGCTGCTCTGGTTCGCCAGAAGCGGCTTAGTCCTGCTGGCCACATGACCCGGAAGCTGTACACCGGCTCCCTCGGCCAGTAAAGGGAGATGAGTGCTGCAACCCCAGAGTCGGTCACGACTGGATCTAATGGTCAGGGGTCCCTTTACCTTTACCTTACCCCAACCCTATATGCCAAAGGGAGGAAAAAGTATTTTGGGAACAGGAACATAGTAGTAGGAAGTGGAAGGCTGCCACAAATATGGAAGAGGCTTACTGGGCCTCTTTCTCAACTCAACTGGCAAGCAAGATGCTAGCAATCTTTTTCATGACCCATACCCACTGAGATTCCTAGTGGAAAATTACATTGGCCAGTGAGAGACTTGACTCTCTCCCCTTGGAGGTCTTCAAATATTTGGAAGGAATGGTCCCACTTTATTTCATCCAGTTGCTCATCCATCACTAGTCCCATCTTCAACCTCTTTAACTTTTATTAAACTGAGAAAGCAAAACAGCTGCAATTGAGAAGACCAGGGGGGTTACAAACCTATCTCCCATCTGACATTAAGAGCTGTTTGACCGTGAAAAGGACTCCCCTTCATTGGTGGCTTTTATGCAGAGGTTCAATGGTCATCTGTCATGGATTCTTTAGTAGAGATTCCTGGGTGCAGGGGTTGGACTAGATGACCCTCAGGGTCCCTCCCAAATCTACAGTTCTATGATCTCAAGAGTAGGTGATCCACAGAAGGGCCTTTTTTTTTTCTTTTTGGTCTACACCTCTGCCGCAACCCTATAAGCCTCTTCTGCAAAAGTCCATGGCAGCCACTGTGAGACTCACCCATAGTGCTTCTTCATTTACAGAAAATGATGGGGGACTAACTGTGAGGGTTTGGGATAATATAACGAGATGAAATACATTCCACAAACCCAAGTAATTTTAGTCCTGTGGTATGTGATGTAGCTTCATATTGTAGCACAACACCCCAATCTCTGAGTGGTTTGAGATTCCAGGGTTTCCAGGATCTTTCCTTTTGGAAATGAGGCACAGCAGAAACTGCGGTGTCTTTATGATATATGGTTTATTTACACATATATACAACCTGAGCCTACGATGGAGGGGTTCACAGCATTAACACCTCAAAAGGATCTCGTTTCTCCCATAGCCACAGCTTTGGATTCAAGCAGAAATCCAACATTGTTCTGACTCGCTCTGTAGCTCGCTGCTTTTGCTTCTAGCTCACGTCACGGCAAAACCCTCTGTCCTCAACTCTGCCTCTGTCTTTCTAACTACCTGCGAGTTGAGAGAGGGGCTCCCACCCATTTGCTGTCTCCCACAGATATCCTTCCTTTGCTCTTCATAATGGCACATCATCCAGGCTATCACCTCACCAGGAGGCTAGCTTGGCTAGTCCAAGAATCATAAGCCTTGATTAGATTTTAACACTTGCTAAATCCAGGGATTAGAAGAGTCTCAACATAGAGCCTAACATCCCAAACTGATTACTATCTTTTGTTAACGGTGAAGAAGAAGTTGTTATCTGTGCTTAGACATGGGTGAAGAGTATAGAATAAATATCTGGACTAGGCAGGTCATGCATTCCAGAGATCGCCCACCTTGCACAATAGCTCTGATGTGCCTTAAGTTTTAATGACTTTGTATACTGGATTTAGGAACTAATTAAAGGTAAATTGGGGGTGCATCTGGTTCCCCAACCCCCCACAACTGTGGCAAAAACCTCATTTTGACTTTGACCACGGAAGCAGTAACAGAATGTTATTTTGCCTAGCACAGCAGGATAGGACGTTGATATATAAAATGTATTTACCAAAAATAAAAATTATCTTGAACGCTACAGATAACTGGTGAACTGCCTTAGCCTACATTATGTTTGATTTCTCCTTGCAATGATCAATATCATACTCTTGAACTGTACTCAAATACAGTAATTATGTTCCCAGCACGATAATTGGTTCCTGGGCAGTACAATATTTGTTGCTTGTAGTGCAGCTTGTCTTCAAAAAAGCTACCCTTTTGATTAGTAAAAAACCAACCATTTTGCTTTGAAACTGAATTCAGCAGTTTACCTTTGAGAATTCCCTTCAGTCTTAAAATTCCGAGGACGCTAGTGTCTAGAAGCTACAGCGATCTGAAGCAACAGCAAAAATCTAAAGGTTATGACATCTAAATATCTTAAGTTGCTGCTGTTTGCGCTTTGATTGAATTGATTTTTGCGCCCACTTTTATTGTCCTTTTAACTAGTACTGTAATATTTTGTTCTTTTGTGAGGTCACATTCAGGGGTGCCAACTTGTATAAAATATTGGGGGGGCCAGACAAGCCCTGCCCTGTATCCTGATTGATCACGTGACATGCGGCACGTACACCACTTGAACAGCAATGCCCATCAACTTTTTCTGAGGGGGGGAGAGCCCTCAAATATTTTATGGGGTGTGTGTGAAGGGATCTCAGTCCCTAGGAGTTGGCCCCTCTATTGGTCACATTCACACCATACCTTTAAAGCCACATGGCTTTCCCCAAAGAATCCTGAAAACTGTGGTTTGCCAAAGTTGCTGGGAACTGCAGCTTCTTTGAGGGGCAAACTACACTTCCCACAATTCTTTTGGGGCGAAGCCATGTGATTTAAAGGTATGTTGTGAACATGACCCATAGGAGTCAACTCCTGGGGTTGATATCCCTTCACCCCAATAAAATATTTGAGCCGCGCCCCTCCCACAAGTTGATGAGCACTTTCATTCAAATATGATTTAAATGTGTGGCATGGTTGTGATTAGAGTCTTTTTGGGACGTTTTTGTTTGTGTGGCTTTTCCGTTTTTGTGACTGTAACTTGTTCTTCGTTTTACGGGACTCACTTGTGACTTTGTTTTTATGACTTGTTTTTGTGACTGTGTGGAACCCAGTACAGCTACTGATTGACTGATTGTGTGACTGCGGAAATGGATAAAAGCCCCCACCCCATCCAAACAATGACTATCATCAGTGCACGTAAGGGGGGAAAAATGAATTTTAATTATCATCATCTACAATACTCTTGGGACGCGGGTGGCGCTGTGGGTAAAACCTCAGCGCCTAGGACTTGCCGATCGCATGGTCGGCGGTTCGAATCCCTGCGGCGGGGTGCGCTCCCGTCGTTTGGTCCCAGCGCCTGCCAACCTAGCAGTTCGAAAGCACCCCCGGGTGCAAGTAGATAAATAGGGACCGCTTACCAGCGGGAAGGTAAACGGCGTGCTGTGTGCTGCGCTGGCTCGCCAGATGCAGCTTGTCACGCTGGCCACGTGACCCAAAGTGTCTGCGGACAGCGCTGGCTCCCGGCCTATAGAGTGAGATGAGCGCACAACCCTAGAGTCTGGCAAGACTGGCCCGTACGGGCAGGGGTACCTTTACCTTTACAATACTCTTATTTATTTTATAAAACAGTACATTGATCATTGCTTTCATTTTATGGATCGATGGTCTCGTTAGATAGTAAAATTCATGTTAAATTGCTGTTTTAGGGGTTGTTGTTTTTTAAAGCCTGGAACGGATTAATCCGTTTTGCATTACTTTCTATGGGAAAGCACGCCTTGGTTTTGGAATGCTTTGGTTTTGGAACGGACTTCCGGAACGGATTAAGTTTGAGAACCAAGGTACCACTATATCTGAAAAGTAGAAATTAAAAATTAATTAATTAATTAATTAATTACATACGCCTGAGGTAATAATGCTACGCAGAAGCGAAGAGGGAGAATTTAGACCCTATTTGTCCTAGAGATGCTGACCCCCAAGCCGGGCTTTAGACCCCGCTTAAGCCCTTCCTCTAGCCCTCCCTCGTGGCGGGTTTTGGGTTTTCAGCCACTGGAAGGCAGAGTCTCCTTTGGCCCCACGAGAGCCTCGGAGCTGCTCCTTTCGGCAGGCAGAAGCGAGCGGGATCCGTCCTCGAGTAGCCATTTCTTCCCTCTGGAAGGGGAAGGGAAATAAAGCGCCCACTCCTTCTCTTCTGCTTATATGGTCAGGCGGGCAGGCGCAAGATTTGGGCAAAGGAAGGTAAGCCGCCGCCGCCTGTTGCATTTCCTGCCCGGGATTGGCGCGCTCTCTCCGCCGCCGCCCCATGGCGACTATTGATTCCCAGGGAAGGGCTGGGGGGGGGTCGGGGTTGGGGGGAGCCTGACGCCTCTGAATGCATTATATAGACAAGCGGATTGCAATCCGTGGCAGGCAAGGCTTCAACGGCGTCGTTGCCTAGGCGTCGTCCCCTCCCCTCCCCCCAGCACCGTAACAACACGCCTTTTAAAGTTGATAAAAATGGAAAAAACGCGGAGGGAAGCTTCGGGCGCAGTGCGCTTGGGTGTGATGCGCGCGGATTTCATCCGGTGCCCAAAGGATTGCGCACGAGGCGCCACCGCCACGGAACCGAATTCTCCCATCCGGCGGCAAATCCACCCCCCCATTTCCTCCCCTCCCCCCACCCACCCCCCAACAACTCCCGTTTTTAAACCGGCATGGATCTGAGCCTCGATAAAGCTGCATCATTGGGAAATGAGGCTGCTAAATCCACATTTTTTGGCTGGTACCGATTCCATAGTTCGGTGGGAAGCACCTAGTATTTTCCACGGGGATCTACAGCCAGAGGGGACCGTGGGGTGGGGTGGAGGGGTGTCCCTGAATGACAAGGCTGCAAGTGCAACAGGAACAGGAGTTTTTTGGGGGGGGCGCGGGAGGTTGGCCCTAGCAGGTGCACAGGGAAGACGATCGGACGCCCAACCCCAGCAGCAAGTCTCTTTACTTCCGAGGAGATCCTTACACCCACCCACTCACCCCTCGCCTCCCCCGGGGTGCCTGGAATGAAAACGGAGCTGCCCAGATTGAGTAAACCAGGAGTAACCGCGGAGTACATGGCAGAGGACGTGATCTCGGAGAAGAGAGAGCGGCCGATCGGCGGGCGGGTCATGGATTGACATGCCAGGGTGGAGGAGAAGAGATCGCTGCCCGAGATCGCGAACCCTTTCCCGGGCTGGAGGAGGAGGAGGGGAGGGAGAGGGACCTGGAGAGTTCAGGTGCCCGTTCAGGAAGCGGCACAACGGCCTCTCGCCTTTTTCGCGCCCAGGCTCCCAGGAGCAAGGCGAGGGCGGGGATCGCGCCAGACACCCGGAATCCGTGACTCTCCGGCTGCACGTCCCAAGAAACTCTCGCGGCCGTGGAGCTGGGGGAGGGGAGGGATCTGGCCCGCCCAAAGCAAGTCATCTCCCCGATCGCGTCTCCAAAGCGCCCTCCCTGCCAAGGGCGAAAAGCCACCCCATGGCTGGGGAGGGGGGCTGGCTGCCCAGTGTAGGAGCCCCCCCTCGATCTCCTAGGCGGCAGCACCTGTAGAGCACGAGGCGATCGAGTCCACTCGATCCCACCCCTTTCCCGCAACCTCCCCACGGCTCCGCAGAGCGAATCGAAGTCGTGCATGTGCTCCTGTCTCTTGCAAGGCGCTGCTCTGCTCGGTTTGCCACGCCCGGGTTTGCAGGACGCCGCCGAGCTGCTGGTGCCGCCGCCGCCGCCGCTGATCAGCATTCGGGGGGGGGCGATCGGGCGATCGGGACGTGCCCTCCGGCTGGCCAGCGCCGCGCACCATGAGGCGAAGAGCGAGCGAGCAGCCGGCGGGGAGCGCCTGGCGTTGCCTTGGGATTTGACCACACTGAAAAAAGGCTGCTGGTGGTGTTGGGGGAGACCCAAAACCAGCGGGGAAACCCTTCTAATCCGGATCGGTTGCTACGGAGCGGACTCTCCGCCGGGATCGTGGGGAGGAAAGGCTCTCTCGCTCTCTCCCTCCCTCCAATGCCTCGCTTGCGTCGTCCCCGGGAAGGCGCGCAACAAATGGCAGCCAGGTCTGTGATCCGGGCTGCGGTAGCAGCAGCAGCAGCAGCGACTCCCAGGTGAGGCGCAAAAGGCTCGGCAAAGCTGCAGCTCTCCATGCCCGCCTGCGCCTCGCCTTCCACGCCGCCTGAGTCACCCCGCTGCACCCGGTAAGGCGCTCGAATCCCCTGTCCCTCGGGTGGGGGGTTAGCATAGAGCCCTCTCCCAACTTCACTTTCATACGCGGGGAGGGGTGGTAAGGTGTGGTGTGTGTCCCCCCTTTTCTTAAAAAATTTTCAGTTCGCCTACTAACCCCCTTCTTCCCTTGGTTGGTGACGCCTGTAGTAGAGGAGGAAGGGTGGGGAGTTTGTATCCTAAAGATCAGAAATGGGTGATATAGTGGCATGCCCTGGCTGGGACGCTGTGGTCGTGACCTTAAAATGTGGCACTTAGGAGAGAAATTCTATGGCTGTGCATAGTAGATGTTCTCAGCGAGTGGGAACTGGCTCTCTCGCATTGCTATGTATGTGGCTCAAACTCTCCACCCTTGGTGTATTGATTATATTGGCACACAGCAAAGCTGTGCCAAATGAAATGTGTGCTTTGGTCCAGTGTTTTGCTAACTTGGGAGAGGTGAGCAAACTGGCAAACTACGTAAGAAACAGGGCAATGTAAAATAAAATTTGAAATGCCGTACAAGAGGTAGTGGGGACCTGTTTTAAAAACAAACGAAAGTATATTGATCCCACAAAGGGAAAACATTAAACCGAAAACTTGAGGCAGAACAAAATCTGGTGATATTGGAACATGTCCATGCCTAGTGTGGTGTATTGTGGCCTGTTGAGAACTCGAATCTTGGAAATGTGTTGTGATGGGATACAGAACGGTTTGCATGCTTAACTTTTGCTTTTGGCTTCCATTACTGGACTGTAAATGACAGATGTGAATAAGTGTGTGGTTTGTTGACAAAGACCAGAATATATAACCTGTTTTATAAACTGACTATCTCCTACTTCAGCCATACAGTATCAGTTTCTGATATTTCTGTATTAGGACCAGTTTAGTACAGCCAGAATAATTGGAGGAATAATTGGACCAGTTCTGCATTCCCTATTGCTTCAAATAATAATTGATAGTGAAATATGTGTTCAAATAAGTTTGCTGGGTTTTGTTTTGCTTACAGAATCCAAGATCTTATCTTAAAAGAGTAATGATATACTGTGAAGGGTGAAATCCAGGTTCCTAAATGTGAATGGGAGCTTTGCCACTGACCTCAAGAGGCTATTTCTGGGCTTACACTCTGAATTAAAGTTGGACTTGGTCCTTCTGACCTCTGAAAACAATGAGTAATATTTTGTTTGTCTTCCAGCAGAAATAAACACACCAGCTACTGCCTAAATTTCCATTGCCTTTAAGTTGCTAAGAACTTCTACCTCTTGGGAGACATTTAACATTTTGTGCTGTTTGGGCCTTGAGTGATCCATTTTCCGAGTGAGACTGCAGAAATCATAATTGTAGCTTTTTGATTTTGAGAAAGATGATTAATAGTAAGTCACATGTTGTGCCAGAAGGAGAAGGCAATGGAAATAAAGATTTAATTGCAATAAATGAAATAAGCATGTATTTGTCTGACGAGCTTTGATTCAAATGAAGTAAGGATATATTCAGATGAAGATGGGATGGGTCAAGAGTTTCTCTTCATAGTGCTTTAAAAAAGGCCCCAAATCTAACCTTAACTGCAAGAAATAAGTCTATATTCAGATGATGAACTGGAATTTAAGATGGAGTAAAATAAAGATGGGTTTGGAGTTTGTAGTGCTTTAAACAGGGAGTTGGCTCAAAAGTGTCAAGTGTCTTGGGCCAGTTTGTATCTTTCGTGCTTGTCATTGTATATTGAACCAAGCTAAAGCGGTAACTGCTTACCTGAGAGTAAAGCCTATTGAACTCAATAAGATGTGCTTCTGAGTAGATCTGTCAAGCAAACAGTTGGGGTATGTATGTATAAATAAATAAATAAATTAATAATATAATGATTATAGATTGCACTGCAAGTTGCTCAAATAGGAAGCATCTGAAACAGCTTTGGAAAGCAAGGCCATCTGTAATGGAGGGCTTGTTTATGTGATCATTTATCCTGGGATCACAAGCCATTAATTCACTTTAGCTCTTGGTTTGTTTACGCACTCAAGGGATGAACTGGAAGATAAAGTGAGTTGTGAAATCACATAGTCAGGAACTGTTGACTTCCTGCTCTTTTAACCCAGGATAAGCGATTGTATGAACAACAACAGGATCGTTATTTGTTCTGTGCAAACTCTGGTGTAGTGTTTTGCTCCGTGCAAGCCTCATGTTGGTGCATTAATAACCTGAAATTATTAGTGAGGCGTATTGCTGATTAGCTCAATCAGCAACTAAGGATCCCAGGTTAACAGTCCTAAACCAATACACTCAAGAAGCTCAGAAGCTTTATTAGCATGCCATCAGCGATTTGAAGGTGAACAGAAGCCAAGTGAAAATTTCAGTCCTTTCTCATCTGAAGACAAAATATTGGAAACTGCTGAAAAATTAAAGATGATCACATTTCCATTTGACACTAAAAAAAGGGTAGCATACTAATTCATATTTAATGTAGTTTGCCTTCTTTTGCAATCACATAAGTCTGCTTTGCCTTATTTATGGGGAAATTTCCTTGGCCTTGATGAGTTTAGTTACTTGACCAAAAAATGAAGGATATAGCAACTTGCCACGCATATCAAAAAGATACTGGCTCAGTTTGCACATAACACTAAGTCAAACTTTGGCCTAGTGTGAATGAGCAAGCATGCTTGGAAAATTTCAACCACTTTGTTACTCCTATGCTGCTGCTGCTGCTGCTGCACTGGAGGGAACTAAGCCATGGTTTGACTTAGCATGGCGTGTAAACCCTGGGCTCGTAGTTTGTTTTCCCCAAACAAGAACAAACCTTGGCTATCATTTGTGGGTTGCTTGGAGCTCATTCATGCTATAAACCCAAGTTTATAGCTCAAGATTATTTGTGAACAAGGCTAGTCTTTGAAAAAATGGAGGCATGATCCAACCAAGTGAAGCATTTTTCAATCCCATTGATTTCAGTGGGAGAGTCAAACTTATACTTAGTAAATCATATGGGAAGTTAAAGTACTTAGCTTTGTCAGGATTAGACCCTTGGTGAGAAGCCGGTTTTGTTGTTGTTGTCAAACTGCAGTGTGGGGAAAGGGGAACAATAACTCTATAGAGTTGTTAAATGCCACTTCTGAAATATTTGTGTATCCCTTTGTCTGATTTCATTGATTCTAGAGACCAGAACAATAAGAATATTTCCACATATTTCACTGGGCTTGGAATTTTCTCCATAAAAAGAAAAGAGAGAATTGGTCATGTGAATTTTTAAAGTGGTAGAGGCCCCCTACAGAATATCAACTGAATTCAATGAAGTTTCTAGAATTTCTAGCAAGTGATTTAAAAACCGTACAAGACAATTTCTAAAGCACTGGAATTTATTTAGCAAATGCATTTTGAAAGCTTTGGTAAGGCTTTTAAAACAGTTTTCTTAATAAGAAGTCATTTGCTTTAATCTGATGAGGAAATACGTTTGTGTTCACCTAATTGGGTGTTCTGAGGACCAGTTTAAAGCATCCATCACATTGATCCTTCATGGTTCTAAATCTTGTGGAGAACCTTACACAAGACCAGGCTCCCTTCTGCAGACATTTGCCTCTGAGTCAGGAAGGATGATGGCGAAGTTGGTTGAGGGATTGAGCGAGCAGTCTCCTCCCCACTCTGTGATGGATTTAGAATGTCTGGTTGGAGCTGTCTCAATGGAGGAATGAAAACAGCAAACAGTAGTTCAAGTCTGATCATATTTATTTCGGAGCAGACAGCTGTTGCTTCATGGGCATTATAATTTGGCTCTGTACAGTGTGTGTCAGCAAGAGGTAGGGCCTCATAGACATTTATTTCTGTGTAGATAAATGTGCTTCCTCTTAATGAAAACAGTGCTCTCCTTAGGCAACCACTTACCAATGAGGCCCTTGTTACAGAGTTCCACATCACTCAGTGATTTAAGCTTTGCATGTTCACAATGATGCAACATTAACGGAAACATTTTATGCTTGAAAAATACATAGGGTTGGATCCCTAAGTTAGTTGCACTTAGTTCCCATTGACACCAATGCTCAAATAATTATCATACATGGGAATTGCTTCCAGGTAAGTGGGAAAGGATTGCCCGGGTATAGAATTTTAGCCTTTTGTCTGGGCACAAGCTATTGCTCCTGGTGGTGCAATTTTGCTGAATCATTGGCAACCGTTTTGCGGATGCTTGTGGCTTTCAGTGGATCCAGACTTTTCAATTGTGCCATTCTTCACATTTAGTTAAAATAGCAACAAGATATAAATCCTGGTTCACCCTCCCCAGCACTGTAGACACCTGTTTTGGGAGGAAGCCACTGATTTTCCAGTCATCCTCCCTCCCATTATCCCACTGGTGAAAAGTCCTGTCAGAGCTGACAGCACCATCTGTTTGGCAGGGAAGACCCCTGCACTCAGCAAATCGTGGACAAACTTTGAATTGCTCCCCCCCCCCCCGTATTCAGAGAAAATACACAGAGAGAATAAATTAAAATACTTCTGAGGGTCAGTCATTTGTGACTACATGTGTGTGTGTGTGTGTGTGTGTGTGTGTGTGTTTAACTACAAATAAAGAATGATGTCAAAATACTGCTGCAAAGCTTGGACAAGTACAGCTCTTGACAAACACAACTAGGACCTGCTTTTGTTCAGGGAAATTCTTTGTTCATCCAGTCCTTACTGAAATATATTTCAAGCTGCATCCTGTTTGAATTTAAGCTTTCAGTTATTTGGGAACATTAGCCGATGTGAAAAGCATCTTTTTCCTGATCACATTTCCTGATACAGTATTTGATTCCAGGTCTTGATTTAGAGAGTTGTCAAGCCAAAAGCTTGTTATCATCAACGACTAAGGGGGAAAATGCTCCTTATGTTCAGAGCATACAATGGTTGTTTCTAATTCTGGCCAGTGCAATTCTATGGGCTGATCTGCACCACAGGAGTCTGTATTTGGTTGAACAGGGACAGCGTTGGAATGATAGGGTGGGACCTCATATTTTTGGCTTCTACCTCTCCAGAAGGA